TGAAGAGAACTATATAATGAAGATGTCAAATTCACCAATATAAAATAAATAAAAAAAGGTAGAAGCGAACTTTGATTCATGAGAAGAAGAAGATTTTAGGTTATGAATCCTCCAATCCAATATGATTTTTCCTTGAGAAGAATCTTTGTAATTTTTCTAACGATGGATGTCAAAGAAAATGAGAATAAGACTAGTTTTTTTCTCCTCATCTAGATTGGGGGCCATGAATATTTTTATAACTAAACACATCTTTTCTAAATGGATTTATTTTTTTAAAGATTACATCTAATCAAAATCAGTGTCATATTTCTATTTTAGCCCATCATATAATTAGAAATATGAAATTGGGTATCTTCACATATTTATTCAATATTTTGAATCTAACCCAAAATTATTTTTCTTTAATTTTAATTAATTCAAGGGTTTAAATTTTAAAATAGCATAAAATACACATTTAATTACATAAGTAGGCCACATAATTGATTATTTTTCCAACATTAAATAGAATCATTTTTAATAATGCTTACATTTCTCATTATGTTTAAACTTGAATTATTTTATTAGGCTTATACTTTTTATTGAATGAAAATTTGTTTAAATTTTTAATGTTAATAAAATTGTTGTAAAAATAATGTTGTAAAAATTAATAGAATTTGAGATAGAATTGTAGCCCTTAAGATTGTTGTTGATACTATGATTTTTAATGTTATAAGTACTTATGCTCCTCAAGTAGGTTTAGATATAGGCTCTAAAGAAAAATTTTGGAATGACTTAGAAGAATTAATACAAATATTATCTTTTGAAGAAAGTGTCTTTATTGAATGAGATTTAAATGGATATGTTGGTAAATAGATAGAAGATTTTAAAAATATTCATGGTGACTATGGTTTTGTAGTGATTAATGAAGAAGATAGAGTCATATTAGATTTTGCTTTAGCGTATGATTTTATTATTGCTTATACTTTATTTAAGAAATGAGATATGAGATGAACATATTATTACCATATTATTACCTATAAGAATGGATTTAATAAAACATAAATTGATTATTTTCTTATGAGAAGAAAAAATTGTTGAGAATGTAAATATTGCAAGATCTTTCCAAGTGAAAATTTAAGTACTCAACATCGATTATTAGTTTTGGATTTTAAGATGAAGGTTTGTAAGATAAAAAAATACTATGAATCATTATCATGAAATTAGATGGGAGCACCTAAAAGACAAATAAAATTAATTTTATAAGTAAATATTAAGGTTTTAAGATCTAGAATGTTCATGAAGATGCAAAGTCAATGTGGGATAAAGAAACAAATACTATTAAACAAGTGATAAAAGATGTATTTGGAGAATCAAAAGGAAAATTTTCTATAAATAAAAATACTTGGTGGTGGAATAATAATGTAAGAAAAGAAAAAATATAAGAAATTGTGTTATAAAAATTGTTTTAAATGTAAAAACTTAGAGAACTGGGAAAATATAAGGTGGCTCGTAGGGAGTCTAACCGAACAATTTGTGACGATAAAAATTTTTCTTTTAGTGATCTTTATAATAGATTAGATATGAAAGATTTTGAAAAATATATGCATAAACTAGCCAAACAAAGAGAAAAGAAAAATAAAGATTTAACTCAAATAAAGTGTATTAAAAAGGAAAATAAAAATTTGTTTTTCTTAGAAGAAGATATTCAATATAGGTGGGTGAGCTATTTTGATAAACTCTTCAATCAAGTTTTTGAAAATATGATCAACCTTTGTGAATTTAATAGCATTAATAATAATAAAATTTTTTACTTTTACGTCGAATTAGTAAAAAAAAAAGTGGATGATTCTTTAAAGAGAACCAATAGTGAAAAATCAGTATGACCTGGTGATTTCTTAATCGATGTGTGGAAATATTTAGGAGATTTGAGAGTTTTTTGGCTTACTAAACTCTTTAATATTATTTTAAAAACTAAAAAGATGTCTGAGGAGTAGAGGAATAGTGTTTTGGTCTCAATTTTTGTGAATAAAGGGGATGCACAAGAGCGTGCAAATTATAGAGAAATTAAGTTAATGTGTCATTCTTTAAAATTATAGGAGAGGTTAATTGAATATAGGTTAAGACGTATTACAACGATTTCTCATAATCAGCTTGGATTTATATCGGGTAGGTCTAATATGAAAGCTATACATTTATTGAAAGAAATGACGGAGAAGTACAGAGAGAATAAAGAGGATTTGTGTATGATTTTTTTTTTATTTTTTTAGAAAAAAACTTACGTTAAGGTTAGGTTCCAAGAGAACTCCTCTAGAGAGTTCTAGAGAAGAAATGTGTTGATATGACGTATATTTAAGTCATTAAAGATATGTATAGTTGAGCTATTACTTGTGTTCGGACAGAAGGAGGATTAACTAAGTATTTTCCTATTTCAGTTTGATTGCTTCGGGGATCGACTTTAAGCCCATATCTTTTGATTTAGTTATGAATGCTCTTATTGGACATTTACAGGAGGATGTACCTTGGTGTATGCTTTTTGTTGATGATATCCTTCTTGTAGAAAAGACTAGAGAAAGAGTTCAAAAATAACTTGAACTATAGAGGTCTACATTGGAGTCTAAAGTCCTTTGTTTAAGTATATGTAAAAATGAAAACATGGAATTTAGTTTTAGTAGTAGTAGTTATGGTGGTAGAGTTGTAACTATGGGTGATTAAATCATTAAAATATGTGAATGTTTTAGATATCTGGTCTATTGTTCAAAGTGATGGTGATATAGATGGGGATGCTATTAGTAGAATTCAAGTTGGTTGGTTGAAGTGGAGAAATGCATCGGGCCTATTGTGTGATAGAAAAATACCACTTAGACTAAAAGGAAAGTTTTATAAAATGGTGGTGAGACCTGCAATGCTCTATGGCACCAAATGTTGGCTTTTTAAAGAGAAGCATAAAACAAAGTTATGTGTGCTGAGATTAGAAGACATAGGTGGATGAGTGACTTGACACTTAGATACAAAATGCGAAATGAATACATCTGTGATAGGGTTGGTGTAGCTCCAGTGGAAGACATGATTAGAGAGGGTCTTCTTTGATGGTTTGGTCATATTAAACGTCGACCATCTGATGATCCGATTAGGAGAGTAGATGTTTTAGATTCAATTTATGTTAAGAAAGACAGAGGTAAACCTAAAAAGACTTGGGCATATTGTAAAAAAAATTATCTTAATTTATTAGAATTAAATGAAAATATGACACTCAATAAGACGCAATGGAGTAAAAAGATTCATTTAGCCGGCATCACTTAGATTGATAAAGGCTTGTTGTTGTTGTAACAATATGTTTAAATTTAAACATTTGTTAGGATTGGATAGGTTTGAATTTGCATTTAAAAATTTGGCCTAATCCTTGTGACCCTCTCCCTACAAATAGGGATTGATGACTTTTAATGAAAACATATTATTGTTAGTTATTGAATTATTCCTATCTAATGAAGTGCTCTCTAGGCCTAATTTATTTATACGGATCACTCCAAGTTGTGTTTGCAGAGCTTTCTTCTTCCGCTCTTCAGTATGGTGCATTAATCAACCAAAAAGGCATAACTAACCATTGAGATAATCCATCTTTATTTTAAATGAAAGTTTTCATTCATCTTATTTATTCATTCTTACTTTTAATAGACATTGCTGTAATCAATTTTTGAAGATATGATAGTTTAATTTATCATATATATAAATCAAACAAATCAATTTAGGCATATAGAATTGACACTTGATATTAATATTATCAATTGCTCTACTCTTTGAACGCATATGCTAACTTTCATCTTCTACAGGTGCAATCAATGTTGGATCTGTACAAGAATTTAATCTCTATCTAATAAATTTATTTTTTAGCAAGTTTTCTATTTAGCTTTTAAGTTCAACATGTGTTCGTAGTTGGATTTATCATATAGTGTTGCAAATCATGTAAAGACTAGAAGAATCCAATCAATACCATTTATGTTATCAGGATATAAATGTCAGATGGTACTTAGTTAACATCTTCAGAGATATTCAAATTTTCAACAATAACATTCTTAGATTAATCTACCACCAAAGCATACATCAGTCCTTTTAGACTAGCATTTTCAAAATCATGTTAATTTAAAATATTTAATGGATTCTTCCATTTGTTGGGGATTACCAAGTTTCTTTTATAAATGAAGCAATATGCTTCTTGGCTTAGTAAGCTCTACGATTATCTTACTTTTATTATTTTTGAACAAATATACATTAGACTTTCTAATGTTCATGTCATCTTGATCATATAACCAATATAATATGTGTCACATATAGGCAAAATACCGCACCGAATATAATCACATATATAGCAATTTGAATTGGCAATAAATGTCTTTGTGTAATAGAAATTAAAGTCTCATGCTACTTTATATGATTATGAGAGTAGTTCTGGTTTTAAATTTAAATGATTAATAACCAAATTAGATACAATATTTATTCAACTTACACTGCCTATGAAAAGCTTATAGAGTTTATTAACATCTAAAAGAAGTTTGAAATATAAAGTCTTTTTTCATTTTGGTTCAAGTTTGGTTGTTGTATGTCTCATAATATTTAAAGAACGTTCCATTAAATCACACATTTATCTTATTTTTTCACGCTCATTTAATGTGTTTAAATGAAAATATGACACATGAAAATATGACACCACTCCATAGGATACAATGGAGAAAAAGGATTCATGTAGCTGGCCCCACTTACCCCATTAATTTAAACTTAATTTTATTTGGCATTCACCCAGCATAGTTTGCCATAAAAAAAAAAAATTATCCATATCCATTTCCATAATCTAGAATGAAAAAAAAACTTCAGGCCAATTCATGTCTAATGTCAAAGCTTCAACTCTACATTTTTATTTAAATCATCATCTAAATTATACATATCAATATTCAGATTGACTTGTTCTTCCTTATAATTAAAATCAACTGTTTTTCGCATGGGCTCATATACACCCTTCGTGTTGACAGAAGTTATGCGAGTCTCAGGAATGGTTCCGAAAGGATTTGGGCACTATGATAGACTGCAGCAGCATGGAAGCCCAAGACCTATGGTTTCTCCAAAACTTACCTCAACCATCACAGACGCTGACCTGATTGCTTGGAGTGGGTTGCAGCAAGAGGTGAATGAATAATAGTGCAATTTCTCTTTTCGTTCTGCTTTCAATTTTTTTTTTTTCTGTTATTCTTGAACCATATGCATACATATCATCCAGTGCTGTTTATTTACATATCTAACACTTAAACTTTAATTTTTACATTTATACCACCCAAAAATTTCAAATCACATAAACATTATCACCATTTTAACTTTAAAAGTGAAATACAATTTTTCATCCATAGGTACTGGCATGTTTGCAAAATTTGAAGTTTTGGTGTTAGATATGTAAACTCATAAGAATTGAGTGGTATGTGTAAATATCCTTTTATTTTTCATCATATTGGTTGCCTATTAATTTATAGGCAGATTTACTTACTTACCCTTAATTGTTATGTATTTACATATCTAACACCCAAACTTCATTTCTTACATACCTGCCACCTAAGTTATGCATGGAAAGATTTATTTCACTTTTTAGAAGTTAAAATGGAGTTGTTTTTTTGTGATATGAAAGAGTTGGGTGGTATTATTCTAATAATTAAAGTTTAGATGTAGATATACAAATACATAGATTTTGGGTGGTATTTATGTAAATGCCCCTTATTTATATCATCCGTTCAAGCTTCTAGTCTGATCAATTTAGAATGAGTAGTTGGCATGACTGCCATCTGTGAAGTTGCAGGCTATTGTGACTTCTCCTTTAGATTGAACAGATTAAGCGTCTTAATAAAGTTTATGTGCTGACATTTCATTTCTAGAAGGGAGTTCAAGCGTTTGTTTACTTGAAATTGGATAGAACTGAGTTCTCGCTCTTGTGATTAAGTTCCAATCTTTAGAGTTAAAGAAGTCAGCTTCAGTGTTACATATTTACCAATAGATATGATGGGTTAAGATATTACTTTCTTTAATATCAAACTGGTTTTTCAAGTTTTTCTTTGTTTTATGTTTGTTCAAGTAAGTTTCAATGTTTGGGTCGCACTTCATATTGGTTATTTTGTTCACAAAAATTATCAATTGAGCACAAAAACAAAAAAAAAAAAGCAGGCAAAAATACCCCTATATTTTCTGTCCATTCCTTAGATTCTACTACACAAGTTACCTCTTCCACTTGTAATGCAAGTTGTCTCCAGCAAGTTTTGGTGATTTCACCTCCTCTAGCATTCCCAACACCTTATCACCCACAAAATTATATTTTCTTATGCCACCTTCACCTCTTCATGTTGGCAAAGCAAGCAGCTTCACCTCAACTACTATAAGGAGTTTAGTGTGACGCCTTGCTATCTCAAGAAAGGGTTAGCCTCACCCTTTTAGCCATAGAAAAAAAGATTCTAGAGAAAACTAGAAAGAAGGAAGATAGTCTAAGGAATTCTAGAAGGTTCATCTGAGAAATTTGTTGAAAGAGGCAAGATTCAAGAGAACTCTAGAATATTTTAGAAAGGTCTAGAATCATGTATATGTAAAGAATATTGTAGAATCAGCTAGAAGATGATCTATGCTAATATAATTTAGAATATTCTCTAGGTCTTGAAGGAGGACTATAAATAGAGGCCCCTCCACGTTATTTGTAATCGACCAAATGTTCCCAAGTAACCAAGTGTGTAATCTTTTATTTCTTAGTGAAGTGTTCCTTTCTTTTAATAACCTCTCCTTACTTATTTTCTAGAGAGTTTTTTTTTTAATTTTCAAGTTCAAGCGTTGCAAGATTTAGATTGATTTAGTGTTTAAGAAGATCGCTAAGGCCGCATGGTTGACTTGAGAGAAGTTTGTCGTGACAGTTGGTATCGGAGACAATGTTAAAGACATGACAAAGCAATCATCCATGGCTTTGTTTCGCTCTTTGCTTGGGCGGAGGAGGTTATGAATTGTATGGAGGCCCAGATTCCAGATTGAGAATCTAGGCCAAAAGGTAGATGACTATGAGGAGTAGGACATCACCATCCATTCCACGATTAGAGGTGATGCTCCAACTGGAGAAATTATTAAGGGACCAAATGGCGAAGATTCGAGAAGACCTAATGGGGGATCTCCATGATGTACAAAGATCTCATGAAGAAGAAATGAGCATCCTATGTGCTAGTTTGGAGGAGATGCGTTGAGATATATTGTTTTGCAAGAGAGCACTAGAAACATCAACAACCCACTATACATTCGAAGCCCGACACTTCGGAGTATCAAATCCTAAGAGTTTTCATGGAGTTCACAACGTTAAAGAAGTAGAAAACTTTTTATGGGTACTTGAACATAAAGTTAGAGCCATGTGCATTACAAATGAAGACAAAAAGATCCAATTTGCGGCACTTTATCTCTCCGACATCGCTATGCTATGGTGTATAAGAAGACAAGGAGACATAATGAAAGGTATGTGCACCATATCTACCTTTGATGACTTCAAGAAAGAGCTCAAAAAGAAATCTTATCCTGATAATGCAGAGGTTGAGGCTAGGGCCCAGTTTATGAGGCTTAAACAATCAGGGTCTATTTGGGAGTACATTAATGACTTCATTAGTTTGGTCATTGAAATCCCTAACATGCCAGGCAAGGATGCTTTTATGTTAATAATTAGATTGTTTTATCTACTTGATCTGTTGCGATCGACTATTCTACAGTCTTAATAAAGGTTTTTCATTTAAAATCAAAGGTTTCTACTATGTTGATAAGTGATTTATCTACCTTAGGAATGAACCATTTATTTAGGTTTTCCTCATTTGAGGAGATTTTTCTGCCATTTTGATATTCTTAATCAATTGACTATGCCTCATGGAGGAGACTCTAGTTTGAATAGAAGAATTCATATTGGAATTAGAAGACGAAGCCTTAAAAAGAGCAATATTTGGCTCTAATGGATGAGTTATCATAATTCTTTTCAGCAACACAACAAAGTAATGCTATAATTTATCCAACAAGATTTAAACATTTCTATATTGAACAAAACTTGTCGTTGCTATTTCAAAGAAGTGAGACATATTTCATCCAACTTAGAGTCAGTAGCCCTACGTTCTCAGGTTTCCAGACTATATACCACTTCAATAAAAGAATTATTTAAATAAATCTTTTTCCCAAAGATTATTATGTTTAGTCAACATAATATAAGATTTACTGCCCTTCAAACACATAAACGAGACTTACACCTAAATGCGACGAGAAAACTCAGTAATTTTGGAAAAAGAGGAACAAGTGCATACCTTATAACATGACTACCATAATTATTTTTTCATAATAATATTACTATCAGTCAAGGATTTCTAAGAACACTGTAGCTTTATCCTGATTTATTGTCATACCAATATTATTTCAGAATTTGTGCAGAATATTATTATAAAAACTTATTCATTAGAGCTTTCCCAGGTTATTTAGCCTGACTTGGCTCTGATACTAGATGAACCCGAGAATATAAAAATAAATATTAAAACTAGAAATTTATTAAACTTGAAAAAATTACACTGCGAAAACTTTTTACAGACTCGATGGAGATAAAAGAGCACACAGAATACCTGAGACTAAAAATTGAGTACACAGAAACATAACAAATAAATGTTATATATAGTAGAAGACTTAAACCCTGGACTTCAAACATTTTACAATATGTCTAATTAGATTTCTTTCGATGGAAGAAATAATCTAATGATCTGCCTTTACTTTTTCTAAAAAAAGATTTTTTTTTTGGTTATGAAATAATCTTTATAATGAAAGGGAATAACTGCTTCAAAGTTACTTTATAAGAGTTATTGTTGCCCCATTTTCACTGTTCCTTTTGACTAGCTTGTTTGTCATATGCGGCTATCCCGATCATCTTTTTTTGTTGCAAATTCTCTGTCAAGTGACATTTCTTCTTTGTCACATTCAAGAAAAAATATTGTAGCTTTGAATAACTTTTGGAATTGCTCTTAGTATATTTCTTTGATTCTTTGTTAAATCCATTTCTCACTTTATGAGGGTACTTTTTACGAATATCTTCATTAATTTCTTTGATGGATAGTCCATCATGAATAGGAGGTGTTGATGATGATTGAAATTTCTTAATTTGATAAAATTTTTCATCAACATTAAGTCTTGTCGATCATTTGAGTAAAATTTATCTTTGAAGAAAAAGATGATAAGACGTATTTTTTCATAGGGTTATAACCCAGACCCAAACCCAAACCCAAACCCAAACCCAAATAATCTGATAATTTGTAATAAGTGAACTATATTTTGTTCTTGTAATAAATTCCTCAAACTAATATTTCACATTTTGGGAAAAACCTTAACCCATTCAGTATAACAATCTTTTAATGGTTCAAGTAGAATCTTAAGGTTTGCCCTAAAATATCCTTACCAGCGTTAAAATCAAGCAGATAGTTCTCCGCTAGCAACTTCTTTAGTTACAATAATGAACCAAAAATATTTTTCTAAATGATTTCCAAGAAATAGTACTCTTATCATTGCTTGGTCATAAGTCCAGTAGTTAATTGCAATTTTTTTTTGTAAATTTACAATTAAGTATATAAGTATTTCTTGGAATGGTGTTCGATCTCAATCCTTATGATGAACAATCTTTTGCATTATACCTTTACTGTATAAAACAAAATGTGCTGCGTTATCTTGGATATGTTCAAATGTGACGCATTTAAGCTGAATCAAAATTTTTTCATTAGTCTCTCTTGTTAAAAATTCATAAGGAAATGAGTTATTCTCAAAATTTTCTCAAATAAAGCCATTTCAACTATTTATATGATAATCCTTGAGATTAAAGTCTGTAATATTTTGTTTAATTAGATTAGTAAAATAAATTGGTTCAACTGCTACGACTTCTTTAAAAGGAGTAGCTTTAATGGATGATGACTCTTCTTTTTTGTATTAGAAGCAAGAGCATAAGTTGTTCCACAGACATACTTACGTTAGTCAATTGGACCTTGAGCAGTAGTGAAATTTATAATATGACATCCTCTCCCCCCATGAGTGGACACGCTATCTCTAATGTTTTGATTAGAAGTTGACATTTGATGACGATGGGGGTGATCCACTCCTGAAGATCCTTGCAAG